AAAGGCGAAAATATCACTTTTACCAAAAATTACAAAAATATCATCAAAATTAGAGAATTAAAGATATCATCATGAAATGAACAACTCTGAGAGAGGTCCACATGTAGTACCTATATATGTAATATCAAAGCAATTGGACTTGAGGTTTTTAACAAGAAGTCGAAAATATCACTTTTTAACAAAAATGACAAAAATATTCACCAAAATTAGAAAATTAAAGATATCATTACAAAATGAACAAATCTGAGAGAGGTCCACATGTAGTACCTATATATGTAATATCAAAGCAATTGGACTTGCGGTTTTTAACAAGAAGTTGAAAATATCACTTTTTACCAAAAATGACAAAAATATTCACCAAAATTAGAGAATTGAAGATATCATCATGAATGAACAAATCTGAGAGAGGTCTACCCAAGGTACATGTACATATACACCAAGTATCAAAGCATTCAGACTTGTAGTTTCCATGAAGAAGTCAAAAAAGTAAAACATTGACATGGACGACGGACAATCACACATATGATAAGCTCCGCTCGACAAAGTCGACAGCGGAGCTAATAATACTACTAGTACATTGAAAATAGAAAATATAAAATTATAATGATCGAAAGCGGTCACATTGTGTAGTTTATCAACTAAGATATTATTTGCCCTCACTACAATGAATCTCATCATGCAATTCTGGTAGGATTCTGCCTCCGATAATATGATGCTAGTAAATGCTGGTTAGTCTAGTGGTCAGGTAATAAAGCTGGTAAAAGCTGGTTAGTTTAGTGGTCAGGTAATAATGCTGGTAAATGCTGGTTAGTTTAGTGGTCAGGTAATAATGCTGGTGAAAGCTGGTTAGTTTAGTGGTCAGGTAATAATGCTGGTAAATGCTGGTTAGTCTAGTGGTCAGGTAATAAAGCTGGTAAATGCTGGTGAGTCTAATGGTCAGGTAATAATGCTGGTTAGTCTAGTGGTCAGGTAATATTGCTGGTAAAAGCTGGTTAGTTTAGTGGTCAGGTAATAATGCTGGTAAAAGCTGGTTAGTTTAGTGGTCAGGTAATAATGCTGGTAAATGCTGGTGAGTCTAATGGTCAGGTAATAATGCTGGTTAGTCTAGTGGTCAGGTAATATTGCTGGTAAATGCTGGTTAGTCTAGTGGTCAGGTAATCATGCTGGTAAAAGCTGGTTGGTCTAGTGGTGTGCTGGTAAAAGCTGGTTGGTCTAGTGGTGTGCTGGTAAAAGCTGGTTGGTCTAGTGGTGTGCTGGTAAAAGCTGGTTGGTCTAGTGGTGTGCTAGTAAAAGCTGGTTGGTCTAGTGGTGTGCTGGTAAAAGCTGGTTGGTCTAGTGTGCTGGTAAAAGCTGGTTGGTCTAGTGGTGTGCTGGTAAAAGCTGGTTGGTCTAGTGGTGTGCTGGTAAAAGCTGGTTGGTCTAGTGGTGTGCTAGTAAAAGCTGGTTGGTCTAGTGGTGTGCTGGTAAAAGCTGGTTGGTCTAGTGGTGTGCTGGTAAAAGCTGGTTGGTCTAGTGGTGTGCTGGTAAAAGCTGGTTGGTCTAGTGGTGTGCTAGTAAAAGCTGGTTGGTCTAGTGGTGTGCTGGTAAAAGCTGGTTGGTCTAGGCATCAGGTAATACTGTTAATCTAGTGGTGTGCTTATTAATTAACATATATATAAGTGTCAATTATCACAACAAAGAGATAGAGAGTGACCAAGAAGTTGAACGA